CCTTTTTAAAAATAAAGTTTTGTTCCTGCTTGAGTGGCTTGTGATTCTGTGCCCAGCCGGGTTGCGGCATCTGCCTACCCTTAGATACTGAAAAAAAATTCTACATATTTTCTAAGAGTTTTATAGTGTTTGCTTTATAGTTGACACTGTGACACATTTTGAGTTGATTTTTGATATTTGTATAAGATGTGAGATTAAGACTTTTTTTTGCCAATGGATATGCAATTTATACATCAGTATTTGTTGAAATGTTATTCTGCTACATAGAGTTGATTTTGTATCTATATAAAAATCAGCTGAGTATATTTGTGTGACACTGTTACCAGGTTCTCTTGTATTTTGTTGCTGTATTGTTCAGTAATACACATAGCCTTCATTAATACTACTATATGATGTTTCAAAATCAGGTAAAATTGTTTTCTCCCTCATTATTCTTGCTTTAACTACTCTAGTTCTTTTGATACTGCATATGAACTTTAGAATCACATTATCTACATCCACAAGAAATCTTGCTCATATCTTGAAAAGAATTGCATTAAACCTGCAACTCAGGAGGCTGAGGCAGGAGGGTTCCAAATTTCAGGCCAGCCTCAGCAATTTAGTGAAGCCTTGACCAACTTAGTGACATTCTGTCTCAAAATAAAAAATAATGACTGGGGATGAGGCTCAGTGATTAAGCACCCTGGATTCACTCTCTAGTACTTCAAATAAATCAAAACAGTAACAACAACCCCTCCACCCCCCCAAAAAGAAGGAGGCTCCAGAAAACCATAAAAAAGAATTTGTAATGGTGAACATACAAATAAGAATTATTGAATATGCAGGAAAATATCACACTTGAATATTAAAGATATACAATTCATACATCAGTATTTATTGAAAAGTTTTTTTTTTTTTTTGGTTTGTGTGTGTGATTGTTATTTCCCCCAGTGGGAGCAGTAATCTGCATATGAATTTGAGCAAAACTGACATTTTTCCTGTGTTGAGTCTTATAATTCATGAACATGCCCTGTATATCCACTTAGGTTTTTTATTTCTTTCATCTAGTAGTTTTCAGCATATACATTCTGAACATGTTTTGTTAAGCATTTCATTGTTTAGAGTAAATACAATTAGTATTACATTTTTAATTTTGATGTTCATGTTCATTACTAAAGTATAAATATAAAATTAATTTTTGTTTATTTACTTTGTATTCTGACTTTGCTAAATAAACTTGTTAGTTCTGAGTAGAAGAGCTTGTGCCAGCACCATTTACTCTGTAGAGGTAGTTTAATAGAGAACTACAGAATTAGCTTCAAATAAGTTCATGACATATTAATAATTATTAACTGGCAGTCACTAAGTGCCTATGTTGTTAAATAGGAGAGAGAATGGCAATCTCTTAGTAAATTAATTAGTTAATTAATTGGTAAATTACTAATTAATTGGCAATCATTAGTAAATTAAAAATAATAATAAACTATACATGTCAGCCAAATCTAAAGGAGTAAAACTCAGATCTTCTAGAGAAAAATAGGGGAAAAAGGAAGAAAGTGAATAGAACTGTAAAATGATTTCTATTTTTTAACAAGAAAAAGGAGGTAAACAAGATCAAAAAAGGAATCTGATAAAGATAGGCTGATCTTACTTGTAATAAATGAAGTGGCCAAATTCTACTCTTCCTAGCTGCCATTTAGGTTCATGAATTATTAGAAAAATGAAAATAAAGTAAATATTAATTAAGATTAGCCTACTTAAGATCTAGTTAACTCTGCCTTTTGGGGAAACAAGGGCACAATTTGGCTGTGCTCCTAATAGTGAATATTATCATAAAGGGGAAGATTATAATTTGTAAAATAAAGCTATTTGCATCATCATTACTTTGCCCATCTCCCCCTTACTGGCCAAGGCAGGACACACAATAGGACATTAAATCACTTATTTCACATTCTGATTTGTTTTACTCACCTACATTGCTGCTAAAAAGAAAATATTGGAAATCAATAACCAGGAACTAGAGAAAGCAGGAGTTCATGCCCTGCTTCTCTGTGGATCAAGAAACTCTGGCTCAGCTGATTGGATTGTTTTTTCTCTTATCAAAGTTTGGACCTAACCAGAGTGGGGGAATAGGACAATGGTGTTCTTTATTTTATCTTGTTAGCTATTTGGCAAACTTAGTAAAATGTAATTATTTAATTTTTAGGAACTTGAAATATAAGATGCTTATTTTTAGATTAGCTGTATTTTAGAAGCGATTGTTGCTCTGTTTATTACTTTCTGATTAGCTTGTACTATACAAAACTATTAAAACTGGAGAAAGGGAAATGAGACTTCTCTTTTTTATCCTAAATGGGAAACAAAATACTTCACTTTTATTTGTGTTGAGGTTGGAATTAATTTCCAACAAGTGAGGTTAACATTGTAATTACCTGGGGAAGCATAACAAAATACTTCTAAAACATCCCAAATAAACATATGTGCTGTACAATGTACATTAAATCTAGCTAAGAATATATGAGAAGACCCAGGAAAATCATAAGGTTGATAACAACAAAAATAAATGAAAGCTACTACATTTGGACAAAATTCAAAGGAAAAAGTATTACATCTGTGTAATACTTATTTACAGCTATAAGATAAAACAAAAAATCTTTTACTTGTAAGAATTTTCCAGAAATTACTGCTAGTCTTAAACATATTAGAGTCTAGCTAGTGTCTCATTATTTTTATCAAAGTAACTTTAATTTTTTCAAACAATTTTTATCTAAAGATATAAATAAAAATTGGCATATCCTACATTCATAGGATTAAAATATTTTTAAAAAACACAAGTATAACTGACATAGCTTGTTATCATCATCATCATTATCATCATCATACTTATATACTCTATTGTTATTTTGTGTAAATTCAAGAAAACATTCTTTTTAAATCAAATTATAGCATAACATACAGTATTTTGAATGTTGCCCTTTTTTTAACCTAATAATAGTGTACCATGGAGATATTTCTATAGCAGTGCATAGAAAAATTGCTTCTCTCTCTCTCTCTCTCTCTCTCTCTCTCTCTCTCTCTCTCCCTCCCTCCCTCCCCTTCATGGTACTCTATTGTATAGATGAAATATTAGTTATTTAAATGGTCTCTTATTGATGTACCATTTGGATTTTTCCAGTTTTTAAAATTTCTACTGCTGTGTGTGCAAGTTTATCTATAAGAGAAATTTATAATGTGGTATTACTAGGACAAAATTAATTAGTATCATTTACAATAACTAACAATTCTTAGAAATATGATTGTCATAGTTTATCTAAACACATCTCATGCACTAGACAGAGAATAAGACAAAATTATATATATACTGACATCAAGTATTATTGAAGACATTTAAAATGTCCAATGTACTTTTATAGACATATATTATATGATTTTTTATCATCTGATTATTGTAGTTGAACACTCTAGATTTTATTTTTATATATAACAAAATTTTATATTCCACTCACTTGACAATATTGCTATAAGGTGTTATCTATTCAGTTAATTTTGTTCTTAATCAGATACAGCTTTTTAAATTTTTAAGTTTCTTTTATTCCCTTAATATTTATAAAAGAAACATTGAAATTTATTTTATAGAATTAATATTTAAACTACATCTGCAATGAATTCAATATGGATTTTTGTGTTGTAAAATTAGAAAAGAAGTTGGAACTATTTCATTAAACATCCCAAGTTTTGAAAGGGGCCAAATTATATTCTATGCTTGTATGGTTATGTCAAAATGTACTACAATATTAAGTATAACTATAATAAACTAATAAAAACTAATAAAAGGTCCTCAATTTTTACTGAAGAATATCAAGATGTTTACTGACTTACCATTAGTTCTATTTAAATGAATTTTTCTAGTGTGTTTGATAAACAGATATTTAACATATGAGCATCTTAATAGATGGACTAGAATTTACTTAAAATATTGAAAACAAAACAGAAGGAGGGTAGATGGAGAAGGGAAGCTTCCTGGAATTTCTAACATTTGTGTTGGGCTGTGTTATTTCATCTGAGGAGATACACAGGGTAACAAGAATGATTTGAGTTTTAAAAGATTTCTCTAAGAATCATTAGAAAATTAATCTTCTAGCACTATGTGAGCAAGATCAAGCTTGTCAAAGAAAATCTAACACTTTCCTTTAGCCTTCTCAGAGCTCATTGTACTTCCTGTTCAGCAGATGCCTCTGAGATAGAGAAATGATTTGCCAAGGTCATCACAAAAATTATCTAAATATAACCTCCATCACTATCTTTCTAAGCATATTTTTTCAGTGCTAGCAGAAGCCATATTAGAGGTTCTTAGTTTTTTTTTATGGATTTTGAAACTCCATAATTGTTCTATTTTATACAAATTTCATGTGCTAGACATGGAAACATTTCTCTAATATGAATAAAAGGAATAAACCAATGTGCTTAAGTGTGGCTCAAATATAGCTCTTAGCTTTGCTTTAAACATTTGAAATTGTACCTTGCTTAATGTGCAGTGAAACACATTAAAATAATCTGAAAAAGTCATTTGGAATAACTGTATATTAGAAGAGTATATCTGAAATCTTTCAATCCTTTGGCATGCTAATGTGACTCACAAATAGAATCAGAACAATAGTAATGAGAGGGAGGTTGTAGCTCAGTAGTAGAGTGTGCCTAGTGTATGTACAAGACCCTGGGTTTGATCCCTTGCACCATGAAATAAATAAAAGAAAGAAAGATGAAAGAAAAAAAGAAAGAAACAAAGACTAAGAAACTATTCTCATTGTTTTTTTCTCAAGGAAATATATAAGATTAGATTTGAGTTAAATAAGATGTAAGCCATTATTGATGTTATCAGTAATATCTAAGTGCACATAGATACATAATAAATAATTATCCTATAATTTAAATCAGAAAACCTTTATTTATATCATTTAGACATATTCAAATAGTTTTTAACTGGTTTTTCATTCACTTGGAAATCATGAAGTTTTTATGTAATGACATACATATAATTAAATGAACGTATAATTTATAACTTATATATGTTAATAGATTTTTAAAAAATATTCTTTTGTACTTACATTTGATGCCTAAGAAAATGGATGTTGTTAACAAGCCTATGCAGAAAATCCATGAAATCGCCATCACAACACAGCATGTTCCTAAACATGAAATTGGGACAATGAAATTGAATTAGAGAAAGTACCAGAAAGGGATGGGTCAGAGATAAGATGAGGCTGAGCAAAAGAAGGAATTTATATTGGGCATTCTCACTGGAAAATTATGGAGGCCTGGAATTTTTATTATGTGTAATAGGAAAAAGAAAGCCTTTTTAAAAACTTTTTGAAATGAAAGTGATAATTTGGAATGCATCTGATTTGGAAAATATCAAATAGATTTAATAGTATACCTCTTGGTCTTTATGCATAGTATCACAACCTTACTAATTAATTACATGTTTTCTTTTTCAACAATCTTTAGGAATTGTCACAAGCCAGGGAGCTGCCTTGAATTTTTGAGAGCAAGAATGCAGTTGTATCTACCATACCTCTTTTAAGTATCACTTAAATATGACTGATTAAAATATATTTCATTATTAGTTATATAATTTTGGATAAAGAATAAATTTTTCCAGCTAATTTTATAGTTCTTAGGAAGGAAAATTTAAGAATGTGTGATTTATCATTTTAACACTACTCAAAGAAAAATAAATAAAATTTATCTTTAGATAGTGTCGTAGGGTTCCTTATCCTTGGTACCTGTAAATAGTATTTTATGTGGCAATAGACACTTTGAAGATGTTACTAAATTAAGGATTTGGAATGGGAGGTTTACACTGGCTTATTTGGATTCTTATAAGCAAGAATCAGATGATTGGAGACACAAATTGTGATGAAATGATAGAAACAAAGAAGCAGGTGTTATGCTGTTGGATTTGCAGATGAAAGAAGAGAGCCTAGAGCCAAAGAAAGCAATAAATGCAAGACTAGAAACTAGAAATGACAAGGGGATAGATTCTCCTGTATAACCTTACCAACATCTTGGTTTTGGCACAGTAAAATCCATTTCAAATTTTGATCTCTAAAATTTTAAAATGATAAATTTATGTTGCTAAGTCTATGATGACTTGTTGCATCAACAGAAACACACTAATACAAATATTAAATAAGAAGATATAACTGACTACTATAGCAGGCAGCCCCAGGATGATATTTGTTCACTTTTCCCATTTTTTATTTCTTAGTATTTATCAAATAATTTAGAGAGTGTTTGATTCAAAAATTAAAATAATTAAAGTGATATAATTTATTTTACTTATTTTCTAAATCTTGAAATGCATCTTTCTTTCTTCCTTTCTTTCTTTCTTTCTTAAGAGAAAAGGGCACATATTTGTTAAGTCTCCCATTCTTTTCCTTTTTCACCTTTATTTACTCCAGTTCATCTCATTTAGTATGTCAGGCATGTGAAAATATTCTAAGTAGGTTATCCCAGATTAGAAAAAAAAATAAATCTTAGACTCATCATAGAACAAGAAACAAAGCAGAAACTCAAGTCTTACCCTAAAAAATTAGAACTCATTACCTGAAAGTTTGGTGGAAGTCAGACATTTCTGAGAAGTTTCTGATGTTGGATTATCCCACTGAAGAGAGGTGTATATTTCTTCTTCGTGCATGGCTGAGAGGCTTTGATAGGTAAAGCAGCCAGTCCATGCAGGAGGCTGATACAAACAGCTGCACTTGTGGTTAGGAGCAAGTTGGTGAATGAAGTGAAACTGGCTACTTTTTTCACAGTAGTGGGAAAATATGTTTGGGTTTAAGGAATAGAACTGATGCATCTTCATTTGAAAGTGGAAGTTTTTGAAGTGTAATTGGTAAAGAAGGAAATGAGATCCTATTGAACTTGATATGGCCAATGGTAGAACATGGTTCTGCTCTGGTTTCCAAAGTGTCACAAATACAGAAGGTGATGGCCCTGGGTTAGTTTAGAAAGGATATATGTGCAAACAATGTCTTTCTATTTGGCACAAGACATGAAGCAGAGAGATGGCTTAGACAATAGAGATACAAGGCTGATTGATCACAATGGGCAAACCAGGATGTAGATCATCACTATGTGTCCTTAAGAAAGTTAGGAAGGGATTTCATTCCTAAAATAAATTTACATGCTGTATGTTAATTTGGGTAATACTAACAGCTGTGATAAGTAAACCTCAAATCTCGGTTAACACTATAAAAGTTTTTTTTTTTTCTCACAAAACACCTTAGCTCCAGTAATCTTGATTGGTGGACAGCTTTTCTCCCAATGGGACCTGGATTTCTGGCACATTATAAGACATTGATCCTCTACTTCTATCCACTGGAAAGGAAAAAGAGAAAGTGGTAGATTCACACTTCTTGAAAGCCAAAACCTAGAATTAAAATGTATCACAGCCACATCTACCAAGGGCATATCCATATATGGATATAAAGGTTAGGTTTGACAAGTATAGGTATGTGTGTGTGTGTGTGTGTGTGTGTGTGTGTGTGTGTGTGTATTTTGCCTAGACAGCAAGCTTTCAATAGTAATTTCACTTTAGAAGGGAGGCACAAATTATTTAGAGCACAGATGGCCATTTGTGTTAATCCTGTGACTATTTCAGTATTGAGAAATTCATTCCTTTAATCATTATTCATTTTTTAACCACTTCTTCTTATGGGCAAAAGTCATGCCTCAGTAACTTCAGTGTTTCACTGTGTCACTGTTGTTTCAGTGTCTCACTAGATCGGTTGTTGCTCTCATAATAGGCTCCCAGAAGCAAACAAACAGCACATGTAAGGGATCAGGTAAGGGAATTCACTAAAGACTAAAGTTTTTGCAAAGGTTCAGAGAAGAAAAGCAGGATGGTGAGATACACACTGGGAAGCTGTTATCAGTTGTAGGCTTATGGAAAGTGTTTATTGGAACTTTGTGGTTTCCTTCTTTACCAATTACACTTCATATAGAACAAACAGACTTTGCTAAACCAAGGCCCTGAAGGGAGAGAGTCAGTGGAATCAATATTCTACTTTTGATCATTGCCAGTGCCTCCCATTGGCTGGGGTAAGTGGAAGCCAGAGTCCAAGCTTGTCTAGATAATATGTTCATTTTTTGAGTTCAGCTTCCCAAGACACATGATGGGGCTGAGAGGGTCTCCAGGGACAAATGAAAAATTTCCAGCACATTCTCTAAACATTTCATGTAATGTTTTTGTGACCTGAGATGCTAATCTGAATAAACCAGGTGACTAAAATCTATGTAACCTTTAAAATGTCCCAAGTTCTCTTTAGAGGAGAAAAAGAGGAAGAAGCCATAATCATACCACATGTGAACTGAAATTGAATGACATGAACGAAAGTCCTATTAGCTATTATTCATTTCCAGTTTCTCTTCAGATTTTACTAGCACTAAGCATTGAGTTCAGAAAGACCTGATTTTATCAAATACACTGTATTCTTTGATAAATTTCTTTGGGAGGGCCATTGCTTTTCTCCAGTAAAAAATTAATATGCTTCTCATTATATTTGATTATTTTAATCATATTTCCCATTATTTGCTGTTCATTGTGTATTGTACTATTTTAAATCTTTCACATGAGTTATTTTGATTTTTACAATAGATCCATGAAATAGGTACTACTATTACTACAGTGTAGCTTAATTGTAAATTAAAGCACAGTGAAGTCAAATTTTCTGAAATTAACTTAGTAAGTTTCACATTTAGTGGCCTGATCATAGCATAAGTTTATTAATGTCTGTGTTAAGCTGGTTTCATGTATAAGAAATAATTTAGCTGTGAGTACCAGAAAAAAAAGAATCTTTGTAGGCATAATTCAATTAGTTTACATATTTTATTTGTGTTTTAGCTGTAAACTAAGATATCATTCTTCTAAATTTGAATGTGCTATAGCTGTGTATAAATATATGCTTTTCCATATTGGAAATAAGAAACAGTAAAGTTCAGAGATATGTCTAATTTGGAAGAAGTTTTCTGAATTATTATTTCCAATTTATTTTATCTAAATAAATAATTAAAAATAATTTACCACATCCTCATCAGGTAGAGAACTAATCTCTAGGATATATAAAGAACTAAAAAATCTTAACACCAAAAAAACCGAATAACCCAATAAATAAATAGGCCAAGGAACTGAACGGACACTTCCCAGAAGATGATATACAATCAATAAATATATAAAAAAATGTTCAACTTCTCTAGCAATTAGAGAAATACAAATCAAAATTACTCTAAGATTTCATCTCACTACAGTCAGAATGTCAGCTATTAAGAATATGAAGAACAATAAGTGTTGGTGAGGATGTGGGGGAAAAGCACACTCATACATTGCTGGTGGGACTGCAAATTGGTGCAGCCAATATGGAAAGCAGTATGGAGATTCCTTGGAAAACTGGGACTGGAACCACCATTTGACCCAGCTATCCCTCTCCTCAGTTTATACCCAAAGGACTTAAAAACAGCATACTACAGGGACACAGCCACGTCAATGTTTATAGCAGCACAATTCACAATAGCTAAACTGTGGAACCAACCTAGATGCCCTTCAGTAGATGAATGGATGAAGAAAATTTGGCATATATACACAATGGAATATTACTCAGCAATAAAAGAGAATAAAATTATGGCATTTGTAGGTAAATGAATGGAGTTGGAAAATATAATGCTAAGTGAAGTTAGCCAATCCCAAAAATACAAATGCTGAATGTTTTCTCTGATATGAGGATGCTGATCCATGATGGGGATGGCAGGGGAATAGATGAGAGGAATAAATGAACTCTAGATAGGGCAAAAGAGAGGGAGAGGTGGGGAGGGAATGGGGTAGGAATGGCAATAGAATGAGATGGATATCATTACCCTAATTACAAATATGAAGACACGAATGGTGTGACTCTACATTGTATACAACCAAAGATATAAAAAATTCTGCTATATATGTGTAATATGATGTGCACTCTGCTATAATATACAACAAATTAGAATAAATTAAAAAAGAGAAAACAGAAAAAAATTAAAAACAAGACACATGAGGTGTTCAACAAACTCCACTCAAAAACCAAACCAGATAAACAAGCAAAAATAATAAAACACACATACAAAAAACAAAAAAAACCCAAAAAACAAAAACAAAAACAACAAAAAAAACAGGTTAAAGTAAAATAAGGAAGAAAGGAAAGAAAATAATACTCCACACTACCAAATCCAACATCTCTAGATATTTGAAATGACAAGCAGAATCTGGAGAATTTGTGATATTTTTCTTCAGTTTCCTAACACATTCTTGTTTATTGACAGTAAGATTTGAGAATGCTTGGGAGTTAAATGCATGAAGCTATAAATATAACCCATATTTATTGTGTAAGTATTGCATGCTTAAAACTCTGACCATTACTTTATATCATTATACTAACTAATCCACACAATTACCTTCTGGATAAGAAAATAACATTGAACCCATTTCATAGATAGAAAACCGAGTTGTAAAGAAACTAAAATACTTACCCAAAGCCACATAAGCTTTAAAGCAATGTTTTTTGGAATGTATTAAAGACTATCCATATCAGAATCATGTAGAGGTGTTTTTTAAAAACAGGGCTATGTCTCCTCAGCCTTCAAACCAAGAACCATCAGTATTTATAATGTAATATCTCCATGTTTTAACAAACAAACTCATTTGGAAGGTGGAGAATTATGTTCATAAATTGTATGCCCACTAGTTAGAGAAAGGAAACTGTGGGAAAGAAGGGCAATTTTTACTTGTTATCCTGTTAAATGGTACCTGACCACATACTCCATAAATACTTCCTTAGTTATTCAGCAAAAACCAAACATAGACCTCTTATGGAGGGGAGGGGATAGATAAAACACTTTCACGTGTTTTTTCTGCCTTCTAATCTCTGGGCCTTTTTAAGAAGCATTTCCTCATTTATGAACACCAGGAGATTTTGTGTCAACTTTGTTTTTTTGCATTGAGTCTGATCAGGAGTGGACTTAAAATAGTAACAATATTTGTACACTTGTACTGATTAAAGAATTTTCTGAATATCTATGTCACATAATGCAAAGCATACAGTTTCTTGTGAACTCTATTAAGTGAGATCCAGACTCCCTGTTCACTGTATTTGGTACTAATTATAGAACAGTAAACAGGGAAGTCATGGTCTCTGCTTCATAGAGTTTCTGGTATAGTTAACACTATTAAGTTCATCTTAGGTTGTAGAATGGTGAGGTATATTAGCTGGGTAATGTCTCATTTTAAATATGAAAAAATGGAAATTAAGGGGGTTGCATGACTAGTTCATGACTGTACTTTAGTTAAGGGACCACATTATCTAAATTTTCTCCTTATTCTACATTTAGTATTATTTCTAATACCTTATGCTGTATTTCTAACCTAGATATTTTGTACAGCTTAAGTCACCTAACAGCTAATTTTTCTTGTCCAAATTTCACTTAATATGTGTGTATCGGAAGATGCAGTGAGTCATGGTATGTTCAGATAATTAGGAATGCAATACAGGAAGAGAAAATTAGTGGAAAATAGAGCAACTGATATGCAGATGATCAACTCACATGTTGGCTTCTGGATATACAAAGAAGGGACTACACAAGTGGTGTTGGAAGTAAAAATAATATAAAAATGGCTCCAAGGGGAAGAAAAGGAGAAATGAGCAGTTTTGTGGCTATAGATTCTTCATCCAAATCTTTTATTATACAACCACCACTTCTCTGATATCTGTCCATCATTTTACATTAAAGCAGTT